TAATCACTTAATCACTTATTCAGGTCTCCCAAAGAAGAATAAAAAGAGCTATGCATCGTTTCACTCAAATGAGAGAAAGAATCCGGAGTTCCGACATCCGTCGACGATCAAGAATCAGGGACGCTGTCTCATTTGCCAAGGTGTCAAAAATCAGATGGGCTGGTCACGTAATGAGATTTAAAGACGACCGCTGGACTAGAGCTGTTACTGACTGGATTCCACGGGATGTCAAAAGACCGCGTGGCCGCCCACCTACCAGATAGTCAGACTTCTTTGTCAAGATCATGAACGATCGGTTTGAGGCCCTTCATGTTCCCGGAGCGAACAGATGCCATTGGGCTACACTAGCACGCGACAGGGACAAATGGAGACGTTACTGGCGCCCGCTTGAGCAAATCGACGACTAACGGGAAGTTAAGTGATTAAGTGATTAAGTCTCTGCTACCTTACCCTCAAAGCAACACATCCCAAAATTAAAGCCCACACATTGCAAGGAGCCAGAAGCCCGCCCTGAACCAGGACGCCAGTGGCCCCACAGGGTTCTGCCTTCGGCCACAGGTGGGTCTCACCCACCCTGAAGCCCGAGGGAAGTCATTCATTCCCACAAACCTTGTAAACTAAACAGCTGGGGGAGGAAAATTCAGGGGCAATTGCCAAAAGTTGGAGGATAGACCGCACCTGAACAGCCCCTCTTGCAATTCTTCTCTTCCTCCTTCTCCTTTTCCTCCTTCTTCTTCCAGTGCTCAAGGTTTATTCCGGGCAATGCTTGGGGGACCATATGGGGTGCCAGGGATTGAACCCAGGTAAGCCACGTGTAAGGCAAGCACCTTACCCACTATGCTATTTCTCCAATGCCAGCCTGTGCCAAGCAGTGTTGATCTGTTTCAAGGGTTGCCAGCTCCTTCTGCATGCTCTATCCTGGGATTCTCAGCTTCTTTATCAGGTTAAATGCCACCTTGGTGCCCCTGGACCCGGGCACCTGGGGCAGTGTTCAGGAAAGTCCTTGCAAATGTTTGGATGAGTGAATGACGATGGCAGAAATTTCTGTCAAATATTGGGGTTGTATTAAAGTCTAGGGCAGCTGCTTCTGACTGTCACCAGTCAGGAGGAGGAAGTCACTAGCTATGGATTCTCAAGCAGTTCAAAATCAAGGCGGGCAGGGGAATGGGTGGGCGCAGAGGCTCCCTCAGAAGGTTCTCGTCTCCTCTGCTTCCCGGTGGCTCCCAATTACCTTCAATATTCTTTATTTTCAGTCTGCTCCAGGTCATGTGGCAATCTGTTCCAGATGATGCCAGAATACTAGGTAATGCTGACCCAAGCCAGTTGGTACCAAATAGTGACAGTCTTGCCACATGGCACCAAGAAGTGCCAGCATCTGCCAAGTGATGTGAGGCTGTGACAGTCTCTGCCAGTGCCAGTCGTATAGGCTCTGCCTAGTGGTGGCAGTCTGTGACTAGTTGTGCCCAGCTGCCTCAATCAGTACAAGACGCTGTCAGTCTGGGCTAGTCCGTGCCAATCTGTGCCAGACCGAGCCAGCCGGTGCCATATGGTGTCAGTCAATGTCAGTGCTGCCAATCTGTATCAACCTCTTCCAGGAGTGCCAGATGGTGCCAATCCATTCCATTCTGTGCCAGGCAGTGCCAGTGATGCCCAGTGTGCCAGTCAATGCCAGTATTTTCCAAGTTGGTTTGGTCTACGCTAAGAGGTGCCAAGCAGTGCCAAGTGTGCTACATGAAAAGTGATGCCATGCAGTGCCAGCTGGTGCCAGTATTGCCAACTCATGCTAATCTGTGCCACAGCGCCAGGTGATGCACATCTGTGCCAGGTGATGCCAGCCTTGCCATACAGGCTACGTGGTGTCAGGCAGTGCTAGCCTTGTCAGTCAGTATCAGCCTGAACCAGACGGTCTCATGTGGTGCCAAACCATGCCAATCTGTGTCAAGCTCTGCCAGTTTCTTCCAAGTAAAGCCAGTCTGTGGCAGATGGTGCCAATCTTTACCATGAGGTACCAACTTTACATCCTGTGCCAGGTGGTGTCATCTGTGCCAAATGGTGCCAATTTGTGTCAAGAAAGTACCAGGCTCTGCCAAGAGCTATCAATCTATGCCGTATGGTTCCAGGTAGTGCCAGCCTGTGCTAAGCAGTGCCAACCTCCATGATGGAGACAACAAAATTCTACATTCAAGTGGCCCAGTCTGTGATTACCCTAGCACAGCATCATGAGGGCCACGGCAGAAGAGGCAGGCCAGAGAGGGCAGCTGGAGGGCAGACAAACGGCTTCTTCTCTGGCATCCCCAGGGCCAAGTATCTGCTGCTGCTGTGAGCAGCTTCCAGGGGCGACTTCTGAGGGTCAGCATGTACCAAAGGCAAGAGAAGGAGGCAGAGAGGAAGGGTCGATGAGGGAGATGCTCAGTGGAAGGGAATCCTGGCCAACCCAAGCATTTCCAGAATGTTCTGGAATGAGAAGGCCGAGCCCTGAGAGCCCCCCACTAAAGCAGACTCAGGAAAGGGAGAGGTTTGGAGTTCCTGCTTCGGGCATTCGACATTGTTCTGGTACTGGTTAGTGCACCCCATCTGGGTTTGGTGCCTCTGGACACAAACTCCCCTCCTGAGAAGTCCCGACAGGGTCTGTCCAGGGCCGTGATTTGGTGCGGAGCAAACGTTCACAGGTGCAGAGGGGAAGAAGAAAATGAAGAACATCATTTTCCTTTTGGGGGGTGGGGGTGCATAATTCTGCATCACACCACCCCTTCTGCAGAAAAAAAAATGCCCCCAAAATCTCAGCAGCTTGTTTTTCCTGTGTAAAGTCTCCAGTCTTTGGTTTTCCAGCTCCTGCTAACGTGGGTCTCTTAGGACCGTGTGAGCTATAGGGGTGCACCAGGACCCTGGGATGCATCTCAGTTGCTCATGAGCCCATCTGCACTGGACACGCCACTCGTGGCTTTACTCAGCCCCAGGTACAGCCACCACCCCGCTGGGCACTGACCCCAGTTGTTTCTTATCAACAGCTACTCCTCCTTCACTGTCTCTCTCTCTGTGGGCATCTTGCCCCCACCCAGAACCCCTGGGAATGTCCAGAGCATTAAGGTGACAGCTAGGTTGTACGGCAAAGTGTCCTCTGCCAGGGCAGCCCTGGGGCGGTCTTGGTTAGGGTCCCAAAGACTTTGGGAAACGCTCAGGGTCATGCGATCATGTGACAGGCATAGGGCAATGTGGAGGTTCTCAGCCCAGCCCAGCCCTCTGCAGGAGACAACTGTGGTCAGCGCCAGCTCAGGGGTGCTGCAGGGAAGTGGGTACCCGGTATGGCCACATCTTTGGGGACTAACAAAAACCCCAGGCCAGAAAGTCTGATTTGGACCTGAAGTTTCCCAAGTTTCAAAACGTTGCTGAGGCTGGATTCAGCCCACAGGCCACGAGTCTGCAGCTTGGCCTTAGTGAGACAACTTTTTCCATTTTCACTCGCAGCAGCTTTTGGCTCTAGAACTTGGCTCTCGGACCATCCACAGGACGTGGCCTGTGGCCAAGGGGGAAGGAGCTGGGAGGCACCCCCACCCCACTGACCTCAGACTCACTCCCCTAGGGTAACCAGCTACTTTGCTCTCCTGTGTGTGGGGGTGGGGTGGGGAGAGAGCCCATGTGCCCCCCGGGACCCCTTTCACGAGCCACTTCCAGCACGTGCCCACCAGGCAAGCCTGAGGTCCCCTGGACTTAGCAGCAGACAAAGGGCAGACTCCACACGTGACCAGCAAGGTCCCCCCCTCCTCCCTCCAGTACTGCGGAGGCGCTCACCCTCCCCGCCTCAAACCAATCTCCTCCTTCCCAGTTGCTCCCAGCTAATTCTCACCACAGAGTGAGCCCAAAGCACCCACCCGCACCCCTGCCAGCACATCTGGCCTTTTCTCCCTAGCTCTGTGCACCCTCAGCTCCCCCGCTCAAGTTTAACCTCTGGCTCCCTTCTTCCAGGTCCCTTCCTGGACCATTTGTTTTAACTTAGGAGCTGAGTTCAGGCTTTTTTTTTTTTTAACAGCCCGCAGGAGTTCCAGGTCTCAGGCCAACTCAGTGAAAAAGACATTCCTCAGGGGACAGACTCTGCAGCTGTGTGTCCTGGTGGGCATGGAGGGTCTGGTGTGCACAGCCTGAGACCAAATTTATAAGCATTTTAGAAAGGAAGGAAGGAAAGGAGGGAGGGAGAGAGGGAGGGAGGGAGAGAGGGAGGGAGGGGGAAGGAGATGGAAGAAAGGAGGAATGAAGGATGGAAGGAAGGAAGCATGAAAGGAAGAAAGGAAAGGAGGATGGCAGGATGAAAAGAAGAAGGAGGAAACGGGGATGGAAGGGAGGAAGGAGGAAGATGGGAGCAGGCGCCCCTCCATAGCTGTCCCATCTCCATCTTTCCATCTCTCCATCTGTCCATCCCCCCTTCCATCTAAACAGCCTTTTTTTCGACGTCCCTCAGAGTCAACAATCTGTTTCTGGTCATCTCTGCCCCAAGTCCCCCGGAGTGCAGGGAATCCTGGCCCCGGGCCGCCCTCCAAGAGCCGGGGGCTGCCCTCCAACCTCCGCAAGTCAAGCGTCTCGAGGGGTCGCGCCAGATGTTTCCCCCGCAGGGGAGCTGGGGCTTGCGCGTCGGGAGAGGAGGGTCCCGAGGTCACGCGCTGGAGCAGCTGCGGCGGCGGCGAAAGAGGCGGAGAAAAAAGGGAGAGAGCCGAGAACCGGGAGGAGGGGGGAGGAAGAGGAGGAGGAGGGCGGGGCGGGCGCGCCCCCTCCCCCCGCGCTGCCCGCGTCCTCCCAGCCCAGCCGGCCACATCTGGGGGGCGCCCGCCCTTGGTTTCCGCCGCCTGCAGACTTCCTCCGGCGGTGGCTGGAGGCTGCGCATCTGGGGCTCGGCGCATACAAAGGGGCCAGCCCGGGCGCGAGCAGACGGCGACGGGCCATGAGCCGCTGAGCCCCCGCGGAGCCCCTGGGAGCGCAGCGCGGCGGCCGACAGGCGCCAGCCCGGCGGGGACCCAGCGAGCGGCACGCACCCAGCCAACCTTGCCCAAGCGGGGCCCCGGCGCGCAATGACCGCGGCGCTGGCCGGCCCCCTGCGGGCGCTCTGCATCCTCGGCTGCCTGTTGGGCCGCGCCCCCGCGCCCCCCGCGCCCATCATCAAGTTCCCCGGGGATGTCGCCCCCAAAACGGACAAAGAGTTGGCCGTGGTGAGTGCGGAGTCCGGCGGCCGCTGCCGCGAGCCACGTTCAGGAGAAGTTGGGTCTGAACTTGGCTCCGGATGGTGGGGAGGGGGAGATCTCCCCTCCACCTTTCCAGCCCACCCCGATCCCTCCCCTCATTCCTGCAGTGGGCACCCGGCGCGGGGGAGGGGCTCTCCTGGGCAGCTCCGGCGGGGGGGCGCGCGCTACCCCGATCTCTCCCTCCCGGGTGGCCCTGGGCCGCTGCGCTCCAGTGGAGAGGCACTTGGCTAAAGCACTTGACAACTTTGGGGGGGCCCAGCGCAGGGCGAGGGAGGCGAGAGTCCTGCAGCGGAGGGGGAAGGGCCCTTTTGTCAATAAAGAGGACTTTGTCTGGGAGTCCCGGGATACGGCACCAGCGCGCGGACTTACTTGGTCCACAACTTTGGATACATCTGGGGGAGGCTAGCCTGGCCCTTGGCAAGGTTCTTGGCTCTACGCGGGGGGTGGGGGGGCTCTTTTGCAGACGTCGGGGGCTCCTTTTTAAGCCTCTTGGGGGCCACTTGGGATCCGTTGGCACACGATCCGGTTACGCGTTTGCATCGTCGAGGAACGGAGCTCGGGGCAAGGTGGGGCTTGGCAAAAGCCGGGGAGCTTTGGCACACGTCGGGAGCGCTCGCGGGTACCTTCTGGCTACTCCGTGGGCGGGAGGACAGCGCACCTTTTCCTGTCTAGTGGCTCCAGCTGGTCAGGAGGGTCAAAGCTTGCACTCTTGGCAAGTTTCCTGGAATTTCTGTCAAGGGGTCGGGAGCTCGGGAGGGACGCGGCGGGGGGGAGCGGGCGCGTGGGGCGGGGGCGGCGCGCTCCCTCCTGGCGCCGAGTCCAGCTCGGGCTTAAGCGATTTACGAGCGCCCCTGCCCGTGCGGGCCCGACGCCCTGGCCACAGCGACGCGCCAGCCAGACGCTGCCCCTTCCCCAGAGCGCCTGGGCGCGGACCCCAGGTCCGCAAGGCGCCAAACCCCTGTATCTTTTCAGTCCCTCTAGGAAGACTCTTCTTTAACCAGGACCCCCAGACTTTCCAGGGCCCCCTTCCATGCTGAGAGCCCCGGGAAGAGCTCCTCCCCTCCCCCTTCCTGTCATCAAGGCCTAGGGACCCCTGGGGAGTTAGGTGGGGAGACCCGAACCTCTCCCCCCTGGGGGTGAAAGGGTGAGGCCGATGAGCTACCGCCTTCTTCTACGGGGAGGGGGGGGGCGGCCCATGTTGCACTGGGGGAGGGCGTACAGTGGGGCCTGGGGAACTCAGCTCTGGGCTTGACTGCTGGCTGCAGACTGGGTGCTGATCGGTAGACTTGGTGAGGGAGGGTCAGCCGGGTGCACCTGCCCCAAAGGTACTGCTCTCCGTGTCCCTGGCATGGGGCCATCTTCCACTCTGAGAGCCCTGGGGACCTCAGAGAGGTCGCAGAGAGGCCTGTCGCAGCTGGGGTCTCCTGCCGGTGACCAGACCAGAATATCTGCAATTCTAGAGCACCTGGGTCTATTATTATTATTAACAGCCTGGCCCCTCCTCCAGACCCCAGTCTCCAGACTCCCCCTAAAGAGTAGGAGTCCTTGGGGCCCTTTTTCTCTCCTTCCTCTCCTCTACCTCACCCTTCCCTTCCCTCCCCTAGACCTCCCATCTGGCTCTTACCCTCCCTTCCTCTCTCCTCCCCTTTTCTCCCCTCCCCCACTCACTCTCCCTCCCCCTCCCCAGCCCTTCCTCCTTCTTTCTCTCACTCCTCCCTCCCTCTCTCCCTCCCTCCCTCCCTCCCTCCCTCTCTCCCTCCTCCACCTTCTCTTCCCTCCCCCTCCCTATACTCCCCTTTCTCCTTCCTTCTTGCCTCCCCCATGTCATCCTCTCCTCCCCGCCCCTTCTCCCTTCCATTGCCTCCCCTTCTCCCCTCCCCCTCTCCCTTCCATCACCCTCAGTCTCCTCTCTCCTTCTCCACCCTCCCTTTCTGCCTTCATCTCCTCTCCTTGAGCCACTTCCGGTGTCACTCAGGCAACCTGCCTGGATGGTTCAATGCACAGACCCTGGCCAGGGTTGGGGCCCAGCAGTGCTCTGGGGCCTCCAGAATCAGCCTGGCGGGGCCTGGGGGTGGGGGTACTGGGGAACCAGAACTCAGGGCTTGGTCACTGCCCTGCCCGCGCTGTAGCCTTTGTGCTGGAATCGGCCCTTGTTCAGCCCCCTGCACCAGGAACTGAGCCCCAGAGACTAGAAACAGGCCTTGTTCGCCCACATACCCTTGGCCCTCACACAAGGCTTGGCCCACACAAGTGCCAGGGAGCGTTTGTTGAATGGCCAAGGGCGATTATCACTGACCCTCTACCCTGGCCTTTCTGCCATGGCCTCTGGACACTCCTGAAAGACAGGACGATTGTCTCCTCGGAAATGGCAGGCAGAGGGTTCAAATCCAGCCTGCCGGCAGCTGCATATAACCCTTGAGTCTCCTTGTAAGAAAAGGGGGAGACAGGTGGGCGGGGTGGCTGCTGTGTGGATCTCTGGGGGTCTCTGGGGTCCCTGACACCCACCGCAGAGCCCAAACACCAGGACAGTCTCAGGCCCATCACATGGAGCTGTCCAGCCCCGAAGGCCTAGTGGCCCCAGGACTCCTGAGCACTGCTTGGAAGTCCCCCCCGCAAAGGACTAGAGAGAGAGGTCAGGTTGAGCAGGCTTCCATGCGAACCTCATAGGCCCCTGAGCACCCTCAGGAATAGTCTCAAGCATGGAGCCGAGACTTACCCTGGAGGAGCACCAGGGCATCCCCCAAACAATAATGTACTTATAAAATGAAGAACAGAAAAATCACCCTTTTGTCACCAGCAGGGAGATGGATTCAGAGGGTGACGGAGGTAACAGAGGTGCTGGGACTCCCACCCTCACTCTGTCCCCAGACAGAAGAAACTGGACTTGGTCAGTTTCTTTCTTTTTAAAATTTGTTTCCATCTATATTTTATTAGTTATTTATTTTTATTTTTAATTTTTTTTAAAAATTGAGTTATCATGAGATACACAGTTACAAAGCAGTTCATGATCGAGTTTCAGTCATACAATGATCCAACACCCACCTCTCCACCAGTGTACATTTCCCACCACCAATGACCCCAGTTTCCCTTCCACCACCCTAATCTCCCCTAACCTGCCTCTACCATACACACTTTCCTTCTCTCCCTCTCTCCCTCTCTTCCCTTCTCTCTTTCTCTCTCTTTCCCTCTCTCCCTCTCTCTCCTTCCCTCTCTTTCCCTCTCTCCCTCCCTGTCTCTCCTTTCTCCCTCTCTCCCTCTCCTCTCTATCCCTCTCTCTTTCTCTCCCTCTCTTTCCCTCTCTCTTTCTCCCTCCCTCTCCCTCTCTCCCTTTCTCTCCTCTCCTCTCTTTCTTGCTCTCCTCTTTCCCCCTCTCTCCCTTCCTCTCCCTCTCTTTTTCTCCCCCTATTCTCTCTCTCCCCTTCTCTCTCCTCTCTCTCTCTCTCTCTCTCTCCCCCCCCCACCCCCCCACCCCTCTTTCTTTCTCTTGGCCAGTTTCCTAACCTTTCTGGGCTCTAGTTCCTTCCTCTGCGCTGTGGAAGCTGGTGTCTGGTCCACATCAGAAGGTCACTGGGAACATTGGCTAACCCACACCCAACACGCGGAAGCCTGCTTCCTGGCACCAACCAGGAGGCCTGTTGCGGCAGGGAACAGTGGGTTCGAGAGACCCCCGGAGCATGCCCCGTGTGCATTGCAGACTGAGCTGGGTGTCGGCTTTGCCCGGTTCTGCTCCAGCCTGACGGGGCTGCTCCCCTCGGGTGCTCGTTTCTTCCAGAAATACCTGAACACCTACTACGGCTGCCCCAAGAACCGCTGCAACCTGTTTGTGCTGAAGGACACGCTGAAGAAGATGCAGAAGTTCTTTGGGCTGCCCCAGACGGGCGACCTGGACCAGAACACCATCGAGACCATGCGGAAGCCGCGCTGTGGCAACCCCGATGTGGCTAACTACAACTTCTTCCCCCGGAAACCCAAGTGGGACAAGAACCAGATCACATACAGGTGCCCAGGGCGGTGGGGACGGGGGACGGGGGGGTCACAGGGCACCTGGGCCCTGACGTCTCCTCACCTGTGTACAAGCGTTTGCATCTTTGGGGGAGGGAAAAAAGGGCTGGGCCACACCTGGCACTGCTTAGTGGCTCCGCCTGGCCCTGTGCTCAGGGGTCACTCCTGGTGGGGCTCAGTGCACTGTATGGGTGTTACGGATCAGTTGGGAATTGGTAGCACATGAAGCAAGCACCTACCTCTGTCCTAACCTCTCCATCCTTTTATATTTTGTTGGGAGTCCTGTGCTCAGGGCTTACTCCTGGCTCTGTGCTCAGGGATCATTCCTGGCAGTGCTCAGGGGTGCCTATGGGGTGCTGGAGATGGAAGCCAGGTCTTCCTGGTGCAGGGAAGTGCCCTCCCCACTGGGTGATCACTCCAGCCCCAGGGCTCGGCATCTTAAGGCGCTCGTAGGCAAGTTCTGAGGAATTGGAGTCAGGGAGATCAGAACTTGAACCTCCCACGATAGAAAAGTGTGAGATTGGTGGAGTTGGGGGGTACACAGGGACGAATTTCTCCCTGTTGTCCTGAACCTTGGCTTTCCTGTCTGCCGAGCGGAGAATACCTCCCTCGTGGGGCTGGCTGGAGGTGAAACTCACCGTCAATGACGAGCAGAGGGAGAGGGAAGCAGGTGTCCATCGTGTTCCTGGCCCGGAGTTGCGGCTCATTGGTTCTTCCCTGCATTTTCTTTGACGTTGTACGTGCCACGTTATTTTGGAACATGGTGTTGCCAGTGGGCTGAGGGTTCTGTTCTGTAGGTCTGGTGCTGAATTTCACGGGTGAGATTTCTGCCCGGTGGCTCTTCTTCTTATACCGGGGATGCCTCTGACCCCCCACCCCATCCAGGGCGAGGATGAGGTTCCAAGGGCCAGAGGGGGCCGGCTGATGTGGGCCTTCCATGGGCTGCTCTCGTCGAGGCTCTGGTGTCAGGCGTAGGTCTGTGCATACAAGGCCACAAGCTCTTACTCGCTCAGCACCCACACCCGTCGAGGCCTAGGTGCACCCACCTTCCTTTGCACGCACATGCCCACGCCCCCTGCTTCTCCCCCCCCCCCCCCCGCCTCTAGGATCATTGGTTACACACCTGATCTCGACCCGGAGACCGTGGACGACGCTTTCGCACGTGCTTTCCAGGTGTGGAGTAACGTGACCCCACTTCGCTTCTCTCGGATCCACGATGGAGAGGCTGACATCATGATCAACTTTGGCCGCTGGGGTAGGCCGAGGGGGGCCCGGGTCAGGGGGGCGGGGCCGACACAGACATTAGAGAGGCATTATGGGGCCGGGGGAGGGCGGGGAGAGAGATGCTGCTGAGAGCATCTTAGGTGGGGAGGAGAAACTATAGACAGCAGTGGTGGTGCTGAAGAAGCAGACACAGTAATTACAGTCATTGATGAATGTCAGATGACGCACTGGAGCTTCATGAGCTGGGAGCACGTGGCCGTCCTGGGCCGTCTCAGGAAGCTCCTGGGCGCGAAGGGCCCCAACCCGTTGCCTTAGTTTCAATGACACGGCGTTGCATCTTCAGTGATGTTGGCCACATTTGAACCTGAAGAGTAGAATAGCCTGAAGAACATTCCCCAGATCACAGCTTTAGTGGGTAAAGAGGGTAGACATCGAGGAATCCCAGATGCGGGGGCATGTGGTGGGGGGTTGTGTTTCCATACAGGGGAGTGGTGTAGACAAGAGAGGAAGGCCCTTGATTCTGGGGTCAAGTGAGGTGGTGGTGTGAACGCAGACCATTGCCGAGTTGAAGGCAGGCGGTGTAGACCGAGAGATGAGGGCAGGAGGTGTTGGCATGGTTGACAGCCAGTGATGAGGGTGAGGAGTTGCTGAGTGGCAGGTAGATAGATGAGCAGTTGTGTCAGGGTACTGAGCTCTTCGGTGATGTGGTGAAGAGGGCGGAACAGACAGAAGGGAGATGGGGGTAGTTGGGGGAGGGGCAAGGCCGCTGGCTGTGCGGGCATGTGGGTTGGCAGACCGACTCTGGCGGTCATACCAACAGTGAAGTTGGCAGTCCCAGTGCTGGGCACTGTATAGACCTGAGCGAGGTGCTGACCACCAAGGTCCCAGCTCTCCGCGGCACTCCCAGTCTTGGATAACCCCATGAGCCGGGGTGGGAACAAGTGGAAGGTGGACGCTGAGCACCGCGTGGAAGATGAATTTGAGCACCCATGTGGAAGGTGGACGCCGGGTGCCGTGTGTGTTTCAGAGCATGGAGACGGGTACCCCTTCGACGGCAAGGATGGGCTCCTGGCTCACGCCTTTGCCCCCGGCTCTGGAGTTGGGGGTGACTCCCACTTTGACGATGACGAGCTGTGGACCCTGGGAGAAGGGCAAGGTGAGACAGTGACTGCCCACAACCCCCAGTCTCCACCTGCTACTACCACGGGGAACTGAGGAACGAGGCTCCCGTGGTCTCAAGGCTCCATCACTGGGGGAGGGAGGGTGGTCCCTCAGCAGGGGTGCCAGCCTGGAGGGCATCTTGCAACCATGGTCCCATCTCACCTGCAGTGGTGCGGGTGAAGTATGGGAACGCTGATGGGGAGTACTGCAAGTTCCCCTTCTTGTTCAACGGCAAGGAATACAACAGCTGCACGGACACGGGCCGCAGCGACGGCTTCCTGTGGTGCTCCACCACCTACAACTTCGACAAGGACGGCAAGTACGGCTTCTGCCCCCACGAAGGTGAGTGCCCCCTTCCCAGTCTGCCCGCCCCCTTCCTGCCATATTCCACACTCCACACTGGTACTGCCAGCGGCCCCCAGAGGACAACCCTCAGTCCCCTCACCCACCTTGCACCCTCGCCCATACGCTGTTCACGTAGATGTGCACAAGTCAGGCCTGAGACTAATCCATTTCTAGACGCTAGAGTGAGCTCCGAGCCGCTCTCTCCCTGGAACTGGGCGTTTGGATCTGAAGCAGGGCTGACAGGAGGACTCAGACATGAAGGCCCGCTGGGGGACATGAGCCGGGACTGTCAGCACTTGCTACTGCTCCTGGCTGTGAGTGTGTGTGAGGGGTGTGTGTATGCATGAGTGTCTGTGAATGAGTAGTGCGTGAGTGTGTATGTGTATGAGTGAGCATGTGTGAGAGTATGTGAGCGTCTTTGTGTGAGTGTGTTTGTGTGTGATATGTATGTGTGAGCATGGGTATGTGTGTGTGAGTGAGCATATATGTGAGTGAACATGTATGTGTGAGTGTGTGTGAGTGTGAGTGAGCATGTGTGTGAGTGTATGTATGTGAGTGTGTGAGTGAGCATGTGTATGTGTGTGTTGGTATGAGTGTGTGAGTATGCGAGTGAGTATGTATGTGTGGTTGTGTGAGAGCATGAGTGTGAGAGCATGTCTGTGAATGTGTACAAGAGCGTGTGTGTGTGTGTGTGTATGTGTGTGTGTGTGTGAGAGAGAGAGAGAGAGAGAGAGATCTACCTCTTCTTCTTGGCAGAACCCTAGGCTTGACTCAGTACATCTTTGTCTCGCTTTGGAATATAACATTTTCAGAAACTTTAAGGTAAAAATTTCCTTAAAAGAAAAAACTTGAAAAGTCAGTAAAGGTATATTCAGTCTTTTAGTTTGTTTTGGGGCCATGTACAGTGGCACTAAGGCACTCCTGGTGGAGCTCAGGGAACCATATGGGGTGCCAGGTATTGAACCCAGGTCACCCATGCGTAAAGGAAGTTCCCTTCCCACTGTCCTGTCTCTTGCGCCCCGGGAAAGTACTTTGGTCAGGGCTGGAGAGAGTGCAGGAGGTAAGGTTGCTGGCGTCGCTGCTCTGAGCATGGTTCAGATCCCCAGCACGGCCAAGGACCACGTGTGAGCACAGAGACTGAAAGGGCCTCTGAGCACTCTGGGTGTGACACCCCCCCCTAAAAAACGCCCTTGATAGAAAGCATTATAGATGGGGTATAACTTCCGGTAGGAATAACTTCCTACTCATAGGTGCCATCGTATTAGATGATTCTGAAAATGCAGAAGGTTGGGGCTTTGAAGTGAGGGAACATCCAAAGATTTTCCTAGTTTTAATTCCCCATCCCATAAACACATTTTGGTCTCCCTGCATCTTTTGGGTGGCCTGGTGGCGGGTCTCTGATTCTCTCCCTCCCACCCCCCATAGTGGAACACGCTGCACCAAGCACTTTGGCCCCAGGAGGGGAACAAAGAGCTGATGAGGGTTCTTTCTGCCCACATGTTTACTGGCAGAGCAGAGCTGTAAGGGCTGTTTTTTATTTAAAAAAGAAAAAAACCAACAGTTATTATATTATTTCATTGATTTATTTCTCTCTTTGGGGCCATACTCAGTCGGACTCAGGGGCTCCTTCTGGCTTCATATTTGGAGCACCACTTGGTGCTGGGGTCAAACCCGGGCCTCCTGCCTGCAAACCCTGTGCTCCCATCCTTTGAACCCTCCCCTCTCTCAAGAATCAGTAGTTTTTAAACCAACTGAACAGTCTATTAGGAAGTAAATGAGCATGGGGGTGGTGGAACAGCACACAAGACTTATGGTTATTCAAAAAATCTTACCAAAAAAAAAAAAGAACCCACAAAACAAAAGAAAAAGCAGTTCCACTGAATAAGATGTTTTGTACAAAACCATCACCACAGAAAAAGGAAAAACAAACGCCCATCCCTACCAACAAATAAACAAACTGCAGCCCACGCCAGGCCTGCTTAGGTGAAAATTGTCAGTCTCTTGCATTCTTCCGTGGGGACCGAGGTGGTCCCTCTGATGAGTCAAGTCCTGCGGTTACAACAGAGACCCTTGCTATCAGACGTAGAGACAGCTGGAGTTCAGACATGTGAGATTAGGGACAGTCCCCTGTGTTGGACAGTGTGCCCCCCTCCCCCTTCTTGCTTAATCTTCAGTCAGATACAAAAAATGCCTCGTGCACGGGTTGGGATGTCCTGGCATGAGGCTCCCGTGACTCTGTGTCTCCTGGTGATGAATCAGTGTCTACGTCTCCGACCTTATTGAGGGGCAGGATCTGGGAGGACGGGGTGCTTCCCGGATGGGACAGAGGCTGCTGGCGGGTGCCCTGAGATGGAGACTGGCCTCACAGCTTAGCATGCTGCCTCTCCCCACTCCTGTGTGTCTCTTGATGGGGAGGAAGAGCTCCCCCCCACACTGAGCCTTCAGTGGGGGGCTGGGGCCCCTGGCTCCATCCTGGCCATGGCGGGGTTAATGGGGGCTGGTGAGGTCACTGCTGGCGCGGTTGCACACAGATGGTCCTTGTTACGCACTTGCGGTTTTGCTCCTTGGCAATCCCAGACCCACACCATTCTGTAGCTTTGGGGGTGGCTGAAGGCTTGGGGTGGGGGGCAGGGGAAGAATTCAACACAGATGAGCCCCAGACCCTGGATCCCCTCCCCCCTCCCCAACTCGCCATCATGGCCCTTGTCTTCGAGAGATCGGAATGAGAGCCTCTAGAAGGTTCTGGAATAGAGCGGTGCCTTCTCCCTCCCTCCTCCCGCCTCCCCTCCTCTCTCTTCCCAGCAGGGTTTAGAAGGGACGCGTTGTCCCTGTGTGAGCATGTGTGGACATGCCCGCGTGCACAGATGTGCGGTCTGTGTGGTCTGTGTGTGTCTGTGTGACTGGATGTGATGAATGAGCTCTGAATTGTCAGGTCTAGCCCTCACTTACTTGGCCCTTGTGTGTGCCTGGAAGCATTCTGGAACCTTCTCAGTGCCTCAGTTTCCTCACTTGTGCATGGAGAGACTCTTGTCCCCAAGCTGCCCAGAGATGACATATTTAGCTGACCGTGTGGGTGCCAACCAACAGAGTGGACAATGGCCTTGAGGCCGAGACCGGGTTCAGAGTCCACGTTTTGCGTTCTGCTCTAGGCCTGGTGCTCCCCATTGCAATGCTGGGAACTAGTCCCGAAGACCCCAGATTTCCCCGGGGGAGGGATGGGGTTGGCCCCTGGGAGCTCAGAGCAGCAGAGTTTCCCGACTAAAATCAAACACAGTTTCGTATTGGAGTCAGGCCCCTGGGTGGGCAGCTGGGCGACTCCTGGGGTGGTATCTCACCTTCGCACCCCGTCTCTCACCTATCCCAGCCCTCTTCACCATGGGTGGCAACGCCGATGGGCAGCCCTGCAAGTTCCCATTCCTCTTTGAGGGAACGTCCTACAACAGCTGCACCACAGAGGGCCGCTCTGATGGCTACCGCTGGTGCGGCACCACTGAGGACTACGACCGCGACAAGAAGTACGGCTTCTGCCCGGAGACAGGTGCTGTGTGTCCTCCTCTCCGCCCCCACCTCCCCAGGGCAGGCCCACGGGGCACGTCCTCACAGTTGGCAGCGGGTACCCGGATCAAAGCAGATGCAAGACTCTGAGCACCAGTGAGGCCCAGGGCAGGCCCTCAGGGCATGTTCTGAATGACCCAACCTGTGCCCGCTCGGCCTCAGATGAGCCTTGCTTGCTCCATCTGTCTGGCTCCAAGTCTCCTCCCTACTTCTTCCTTTCCTTTATTCCACACCTGGTGCTGTTCAGGGGTTACTCCGGCTCTGCTTGGGGAGTGATCCTGGCAGTGCTGGGGGTCAAACCTGAGCCTCGAGCATGCAGCACGTGTGTGCCAGTGTCCTTCCTTCCTTCCTTCCTTCCTTCCTTCCTTCCTTCCTTCCTTCCTCCCTCCCTCCCTCCCTCCCTCCCTTCTTCCTTCCCTCCCTCCCTCCTTCCTCCCTCCCTCCCTCCCTCCCTCCCTTCCTCCCTCCTTTCTTCCTTCCCTCCTTCCCTCCCTCTCTCCCTCCTTCTCTCCTTCCTTCCTTCCCTCCCTCCTTACCTCCTTCCCTCCCTTCCCTCCCTCTCTCTCTCCCTCCTTCTCTCTTTCCTTCCTTCCTTCCCTCCCTCCCTTCCCTCCCTCCCTCCTTCCTTCCCTTCTTCCTCCCTTCCCTCCCTCCCTCCTTCCTTCCCTTCTTCCTTCCCTCCCTCCCTCCCTCCCTCCTTCCCTTCCCTCCCTCCCTCCCTCCCTCCCTCCCTCCCTCCCCTCCCTCCCTCCCTCCCTCCCCTCCCTCCCTCCCTCCCTCCCTTCCTTCCTTCCTTCCTTCCTTCCTTCCTTCCTTCCTTTCTTTCTTCCTTCCATTTTCCTTTCTACTCCCATGCACCCCTTCCTCCAACTAAAGGTACTTCCTGCATCCTTGCTCCTGCCAGATGACATTGGCGGATGACATTGTCAGTCCCTACATACCAGCTCACTGCCCTGTTCCCATGAGCTCTCTCCAGCTCCCATTGGCCTGACTGTGGAGCCCCATTCATGGGCAGCTACAAGAAAAGTCAGACTGTGGGTGCCAGGATTTGAAGCCCAGCCTCTACACTGGTTAATAATCTTTGTTCTGGCTTCCTTAAGCCTGGCCTCCCCACTCTGTAAATTGGGTGACGTCCAGTTCTTCCAGCTTCCCTGCGGGAACTGAGACATGTCTGTACCTCACGGTCAGTGCCTGGGATGGAGTGTGGTCTTTGGATGTCTGTCTCCCCTCACCCTGACCTGTGTCCTTCACCCCACAGCCATGTCCACCGTGGGCGGGAACTCAGAAGGTGCCCCCTGCGTCTTCCCCTTCACCTTCCTGGGCAACAAGCACCAGAGCTGCACCAGCGCGGGCCGCAGTGATGGAAAGCTATGGTGCTCCACCACGACCAGCTATGATGAGGACCGCAAGTGGGGCTTCTGCCCTGACCAAGGTAATAGTGGGCACAGGCAGAGACACGGGGCTCCCATGCCCCTCCTGAGAGCAGAAACGCGAGCAGGAGACATCTGAAGGCTCTGCCCATCAACTGAGGCTCCTCCCACTAGCCCCGCCCACAGCAGATGCCCCGCCCACCTCCAAGTGGGCACCCCTTCAGCATCCTGGACACACACCACCTCCATCTCTGGTGGAACTGGTTCCTGCTTCCTGCTTCTGACTTGCCCACTGGGCAGAAACAAGGTCTCCACAAGAGGCACCTCTCATCCTTTATCCACTGGCCCAGGGGGGAGCAGAGAGCCTGCCCATTGGAGGAGAGGCAGCCCAGTCCACTTCCACCTGCTCCCTATAGAGCTGTTATGCTCCTGTCAATGTCTCAGTGCTGGTGCAGGGATAGGAGTGCCCAGGAGGTTGCTCCCTCTGGCTAGAGCCTCTGTCCAGGTGAATTGGTGGCTTTGTCAGAGCAGGCTGACAAAGCAGCTGTGGGGGCTGCAGTGACCTGCAGTGACCTGCGTCCAGTGCAGCGAGCTGAGTGCTTAGGGCCTTGTGTCCATTCCTGTATGCCGGACTGTGGGCAGAGGCTGGGGCTGAGCAGTCAGAATTCGGTTCTCGCCTCTTTGCCCCTGTGGTGATTGGGGCATGAGGAAAGATACCCTCAGAGCTGACCAAAGGTGCCGTCATCCCCTCGTCCTGGTCTTCTCTGCTCTGTGCCGGCCTCTGCCTGGAGCTGGATCTTCTGAGTGGCTAAAGGCCCCAGAGCCAGTGGCACCCCTAAACTGTGGCTGGTGTGTGTGTGTGTGTGTGTGTGTATGTGTGTGTGAGTGAGTGTATGTGTGTGTGTGGGGGGGGTTTAATAGTTCCATGAGCTACCCTCATTGAGTGCCACAGGTGACTTAAGCCACAGAGAAGTCCACATCTGCCATCGGAGGCCCCACGTGTGAAATAGGGTGCGGGGGGTGGGGGCTGGAGCAATAGCACAGTGGATAGGGCATTTGCCTTGCACACGGCCAACCCGGGTTCGATTCCCAGCATCTCATATGGTCCCCCGAGCACCAACAGGAGTAATTCCTGAGTGCAGAGCCAGGACTAACCCCTGAGCATCGCCGGGTGTGACCCTCCCAAAAAAAAGAAAGAAAGAGTGCAGGGGTGCTGCTTTAAGACTGCACAGCCAGGCCTCACTTCCGCCGTTAACTTGGGCGTGTGGCCTCCTGTGTCCCTCTCTGGGTGGCGTCCCTTCTTCGGTCTTGTGAGTCACTTGGGAGGCGGGCTCACCCTGTGCCAGCCTCACTTGAGCTGACATCTGCATCACAGCTGTAAGGACCCAGCTTCCAAATAAGGTCTCTGACACCCGAGGATGGACTTTGGGTCAACTTTCAGGGGGGCACAGTTAAGCCGCACTGTGTGTGACAAGAGTTTGCTGCCCTCTGTGGCTGCGCTTGGGCTGTTTCTTCCTCCAAGCAGGAGTGGTTTTTCCTGCTTTCCTTGGGCAGAAATGGTGGCACCCTTGACCGGCGTGCCTGGGTCACAGTTACAGCAGAGTAGGTTTGGCTTCCCCTCCCCCCCACAGTCTTCGTAGAGAAGCACAGAAAGGCAGAAAGTCCCATTTTTTAGATTTAAGGGAGTTTTTTCTGGTTTGGGGGAGGGGGTCATACCCAGCAGTGCTCCGGGTTGACTCCTGGCTCTGTGCTAAGGGATCACTCCTGGCTGGGCTTGTGGGACCACTTGGGGTGCTGGGAATGAAACCCAAACAAGGCTAGGCAAGCATCCTACCCATTGTACTATCTATCCGGCCCCAGAAAGTCCCATCTTTAGAAAGTGGGAATTGAAGCAGGGCATTTGCAGAAGCTACTTGTCATCTGGATGACCGGAGCGATAGCACAGTGGGTAGGGCTTTGCCTTGCATGCAGCCAACATGGCCAACCCAAGTTCGATTCCTCCACCCCTCTCGGAGATCCCAGCAAGCTACTGAGAGTATCTCGCCTGCACGGCAAAGCCTGGCAAGCTACCCGTGACGTATTTAATATGCCAAACAGTAACAAGTCTCACAATGTTACTGGGCCTGCTCGAGCAAACCAATGAACAATGGGAGGACAGTGACAGTGACCAATTTGGGTTGGAGTGATAGCACAGCGGTAGGGCCTTTGCCTTGCGCACAGCCAGCCCGGCTGAGCCGGGTTCGATTCCTCCCCCACTCTCAGAGAGCCCGGCAAAGCCTGACAAGCTACCCGTGACGTATTCGATATGCCAAACACAGTAACAACAAGTCTCAAAATGGAGACGTTACTGGGCCCGCTCGAGCAAATCGATGAACAATGGGTGGACAGTGTGTTTGTTTTATTTGACTTGTCATCTAACACAGCCTGGAGTTGGGGAAGGGCTAGGGTCTTGGACAGTCCCTACTTAAAAGCAGTGGACACAGTCTGTTCTGTTGATCCCAGAAGCCTTAGAGAAGGAAAACTCAGTGTGTCTCGCTTCCGGTGTGTTGTGTAGGGGGGAGGATGAGGTGGGGAGGGGATAGAAACAGGATCTTCATCTCTCTTCTCGCCCCCGATCTCTGATCTCTCTGCTGCCCTCCGCTGCCTGCGGCCTCAGGGTACAGTCTGTTCCTGGTGGCAGCGCACGAGTTTGGCCATGCAATGGGGCTGGAGCACTCCCAGGACCCTGGCGCCCTGATGGCCCCCATTTACACCTTCACCAAGAACTTCCGCCTGTCCCAGGATGACATCAAGGGCATCCAGGAGCTCTATGGTGAGTCTCCACTTGGGGCCGGTGTCAGGGTGGGCAGCAGCCCTGGCAGGGAGCATCTGACCTCTAACCAGCACTAGGGCTGATCTGCTTGGGGCACTTAGAACCACACTGCAGGGGTCACCCTAGGAAAGCCCCTTCCTTTCCCAGGTCACCCCCGAGATCTACGCCCCTCTCTGCTCCCGGAGCCCCACGGCGAGGCGGGTGCAGCAGCCCCCAGTCTTGAGAGGCCCAACACGGGCAGCTTGCCTGGCTTTAGGTTACCTGCCCTGGGCTGCGCTGTATTCAGACAGCAGGACAGTCGCTCAGTGGGTGGCAACCCCGGTCCCTTGTGATCACCCGGCTGTTGCTGATATCAGCGGGGGTTCAGAATGGACCTTAGCAGGCAGAGGGACCCCGAGGGTTGGTCCCGGGAGCCCATGTTTTATATCCCATGCAGCATACATCAAGGGGCATCTGAAGGGAGTGGGGAGCATATTGTTCTCTCTGAGTTGGTTTCCCCATGGCTAAGCCCTGCCTGCTTGTTGAGAGGGGTGGAAAGATGAATCCTTGCACCCTCCACCCTAATTCTGGACCCTCAGGTGACCTTCTCTCCTCTCTTAATCCTTCATCCTCTCTCTCCTCTCCCCCATTCCTCCCTCCTCTCTCTTAATCCCTCTCTTCTCTCTCTCCTCTCTCCTCATCCCTCCCTCCTCTCTCCTCTCTCTTCATCCCTCCCTCCTCTCTCTCCTCTGTCCTTTCCCTCCTTTCTTCCTCTCTTCTCTTTCCATCCCACCATCTTCTCTTCTCTCTCCATTCCTTTCTTCTCTTTCTCCTCTCTCCATCCCTTCCTTCTCTCTCTTCTCTCCATCCCTCCCATCTCTCTCTCCTCTCTCCATTCCTCCTTCCTCTCTCTCCTCTCTCCATCCCTCCCTGCTTTCTCTTCTCCATCCCTCTCTTCTCTCTTCTCTCTCTCTCTCTCTCTCTCTCTCTCTCTCTCTCTCTCTCTAACTCTACTGATCTGAATCTTGGGTTTGCAACCTTGGGCATGTCCCACAACCTCTTGGGGCTCCCACCGTCCTTGGCCATGCCCCACAGCTCCATTTCTTGATCTACAGCCAAAGGGTGGCAGGGTGTTGCTGCCACCCTTTAGGCTGTCGCTGACGATGGAGGCGGTGGCAGTGCAGGGCATCGATATGATGCCAGCGTGGGGCTAGGGCCCTGGCCCCTTGGCTCTCCTCACTCAGTCCACACGTTTGCTTGCCCATCTGCCCACAGGGGCTAGGGTAACTGTGTCTCCAAACCCTGGGTTCCTAGAGGTGTGATCCTGTGGGGGAAACTGCTAGAGCCGGGGAGTCTGACTCAGTGTCCTTCCCAGGTGCCTCCCCTGACACTGACATCGACACGGGCACCGGCCCCACCCCCACGCTGGGCCCAGTCACTCCTGAGATCTGCACACAGGACATTGTCTTCGATGGCATCTCGCAGATCCGTGGTGAGATCTTCTTCTTCAAGGACCGGTGAGTGCTGCAGTGGTACTTGCTTCTGCTCCCCTCCCCCTATGCTGGTGTCCCCCATCCCCCATGTATGGGCTTAGACTGGGAGCCTCCAGGAATCCCCCTGTGTTAGATGGATTTTACCACATACCGGAACACTGTGGGGCTCTGTGTTGCTCCATGCAACAGAGATTCCTTGTCCTGACCAGTCTGTGAGTTGGGGTGTGTGTGTGTGTGTGTGTCTCAGCTTTGGGTTCTAGTTTGAGTGCTCTCTCTCTCTCTCTCCTTACTTTTCTCTCTTATCTCTCCTCTCTCTCCTCTCTTCTATGTCAGTCTCCTCTCTCCTCTCTCTTCTCTCTTGTTTCTCCTCTCTTGTCTCTTCTTTGTCTCTGTCTCTCTCATCTCTCCATCTCTCTCTCCTCTCCTCTCTCTGTCTCTCCCTCTCCTACCTCTTCTCTCATCTCTCCTCTCTCTCCTCTCTTCTATATCTCTGTCTCTCCTCTCTTCTCTGTCTCTCTCTCCTCTTTCTGTCTCTCTCTTCTCCTCTCTGTCTCTTTCTCCTGTCTCCTCTCTCTTCTCCTCTGTCTCTCTTTGTTTCTCTCATCTCTTCTCTCTGTCTCTTCTCTCTCTGTCTCTCTCCCTCTCTCTCTCTCTCTCTCCCCATCTTTCCCTTGTGGGCTGCTCATGGCTGATGATGGAACAGCTCAAGCCAGAAGCCAGCACATCAAACCACCCAGTTCTAGGGCTTTGTTTTCAGGCCACCCTCAGCAGTCCTCTGAGGCTACGCCCGCTTGGGTTGCTCAGGGTATGCTCAGGGGCATACAAGGAATCAAATCTGGGCCTCCTGCAGGCTACACAACACACTTAAAACCTTCTGATATCACACTTTTTTTCCTAGGGGTTTTTGGCACAGAAGCACTTGGTTTCTGTGATCCTAAAGTCAGGATCAGGAAAACATGGGACTGAGACTCCAGGTTCCTACAGACCAGCTAGAATGGCCTTAACTTCAAATGGCCCATTTTATAGTGTGGGAACAAGGGACCTACAGAGTAGAGAGAGACAGTGTCCTTAGTTCTATGGACAAAGGCCTCTCATCGATAACCAAGGACTCAGACTGATCCTACTGCCCAGCGAATGGTAGGCAAATTCTAAAACTTCATGGAAAGGTCCATCTGTTATCTCTGTACACATACACATTGATGCAACCATTCATCCCTTCATCTCTTTGGGAATTATCTCATTCACCCATTATCTGCCCTCAGCCATTTTTCTTTACCAACCTATTCATCATGGCAACCATCCAGCCAGCCATCTATACTCTCATATCCATCCACTCATCATTCATACATCCACTTATTCATCCATCCATTCATCGTCCTTCCATCCATCTATCCACCCATAATTCTGTCTACCTATCCATCCATTCATACATCCACTCATCCATCCATTCATCCATCCATCTGTCCACTCATCCATTCATCAATTCACCATCCATCATCCATCCACTTATCCATCCATCCACTCATCATCCATTTGTCCATCCAGCCATTCACATATTTATTCCTCCACCCATTCTACCCATTCATGTATTCACCCATCCTACCACGCATCTACTCATCCTTCCATCCACCCATCTATTTATAGAACCTGGGACAGAATGGGATCTGGAACCAGGAATTAGAATCCAAGGAGTCATGCTTACTGGTTGCATAGTCATGAGCAAGTTAACTATTTGTCTTATTTTGTGCCTATTGTTAAATAGGACTCACATCCTAACCTATCTCATAGGATTGTTGTAAGAGACACATGAGTTTGGGCTTAGAACAGTTCCTGACACAGAGTGCCCAGCCTCTGGCTGAAGCAGTGTTTCCCAAAGTGGCCAGAACCACCTGCTGTGAGGAGCACTGGAATGACTCACGAGTACAGTCATAATCCTAGTCCAGAGGTGCAGTGAGGGAGAGGGGGAACATTGGGGCTGGGCTCTCTAGGAGTAACTCCTCGATTCCACATTTTAGTGGATATCCCCGATGATTTGGACACACATGACAGCTTGAGCCTCCCTGTCTCATTTGGAAAGCAGAGGCCTTGATAAGTGACCAGACCATGAACAGAATGAAAGAGAAGTAATGGCAGATGCTCTGGCACACGGTTGAGTCAGGAAAGGCTCCAGGGATGAGGCAGCCCTTGAGTCTGGCCTTAAAGGAGAAGCAGTGATACCAGGAAGACAAAGCAAAGGATTGAAGCACATGTGCCCAGCCCTACATGCCTCCCAAACCCCGTAAGGTGTGGCCCTGGAGCACTGAGCAAGGAGTAGCCCATGAATGCTGCCAGTGTGGCCTAAAACCCAAAACTAAGATAACGAAGCAGACCTGGGAAAGGGCTGCCTGAGACTGGGGAACTGTAGGAGTGAAGCCAGAGAAATGTGAAAGTTCTGGGTGTAGTCAGAGGAATAGACAGAGAGTTGGGCAGGAATGAGAGATGTGCCATGACCGTGGGCAGGCCCTTCTCTGCTCTGGGTGCAGGGCTAGGTCCTGGGAGCTAAGGCTCTGCCCTCTGTGAGAGGGGAAATGCTCCCTGGATGGAGAGGAGTGGGGCACAGCGGCACAAAGTAGGTACCCATCAGGCCCTGAGTCCCCAGATGAAGTGTGATGAGATGGCAGTGCTGCCTGGATGGGACAAAGGCAAGAACGGGGCAGGGGGATCCCATTCCCCGCCAATGACTTGGTCTAGAGCACTTCCTACCGAGGAGGGCCTGCCCACATAAACAGATGTCAGAACCTCGGACCTAGGAAAAGGTGAGGAGTCTAGCCAGACTAGCTCCATCCCTGACCGGAGAGATCCCACTTTCTTGCAAAGGGAAGTTGATGGGCTCGTTCAGTCAATCAGTAAATATTTTAAGTGTCCGCCATGTACAAGAGTTGGCGTGAGGTTCTAGGGCCTGGAGCGATGAGTTCAGCATCCTGCGTTCTATAGGATGACACAACTCAGACTTTGGATTCAGATCTGGCTTGGAATCCTGGTTATGCTGCAGTGCCTCTGAGTGGAATAAGGAGGATGATACCTTCCTGTGCAGAATATCTTGGCTGCAATTAACAGAGAATCCCCCCCCCAACTCAAATCGGTATGAACATGGGAGAGAAATCTCTCATTCAAGAATAGGGGTCCCGGTGGGAATGCCGACTGGTTCAGCCCTTTTGGAAAACAGTATGGATGATTCTCAAAAAATTAGAAATTGAACACCCATTTGACCCAGCAATACCACTCCTGGGAATATATCCCAGGGAGGCAAAAAAGTACAGTCAAAGTGACATCTGCACTTGTTTGTTCATTGCAGCACTCTTTACAATAGCCGGAATCTAGAAAAAACCTGAGTGCCCAAGAACAGATGACTGGTTAAAGAAACTTTGGTAGATCTTCACAATGGAGTACTATGTAGCTTTTAGAAAAGAAGTCATAAAATTTGCATACAAGTGGATCTACATGGAAAGTATAATGTTAAGCGAAATGAGTCAGAAAGAGAGGGATAGACAAAGAAAGATTGCATTCATCTGGGGAACATAAAGTAACAAAATAGGAGACTAACACCCAAGAGTGGCCGAGATTAGTACCAGGAATTTTGCTCCATGGCTTGGAAGTCAGCCACACATGCTGGGGGAGAGGGGATCTCAGATAGAGAAGGGAGCACCAAATAAAGGCTGTTGGGAGGATCCTCCCAGGATGGGAGAAGCAAGCTGAAAGTGGACTATGGACCAAACATGATTGCCACTCAATGCCTCTTTTGCAAACCACAACACCCAAAAGGAGAGAGATAACAGAGAGGAATGCCCTGCCACAGAGGCAGGGTGGGATGGGGTGGATGGGGGGGTGGGAGGGATACTGGGATTCATGGTGGTAGGAAATGAGCACTGATGGAGGGATGGGTATTTGATCATTGCATAATTGAAACCCAAGCACAAAATTTGTAAGTCTACAACTGTACCTCATGGTGTCTCACTAATAAAAAATAAATAAATAAATAAATATCTTAGGGAGGATATAGCTTCAAGGAAACTATTCATTAAATGATAAAAATTGCTTAAAAAATAAAAATTAAAAAACATAACTATTTGTATTAGACTCAATCTCTAATCTGAATATTTAGAAAAACAGTGTATAGTGTTATGGTTTTGGATTAGTAAAAGTTCATTCATTAATAAAAAAAAAAGAATAGGGGTCCCTCCATTGATGAGCGACTCGTAGATTTTTGTGTCTATTGCCCTCCTTTGCGTTAACCCTAAGGCTAGATCCCTCATGGTTCCCCAGCGCTTGCCATTGGCAGTTGGAGCTATAGGCTTCCGAGACCAAATATAGCAGGAGAGAGATAGATTTCCAGGTGGAAAGACCAGGTTTGTTCATCTTACTGTGCCAACACTAGTCATAGGACAATTGCCGGGAACGCTGAGCTCTGATAGGCTTGGCCAGTGTTCCTCTGACTTTGGCATGCACCAAGTCATTAGGATGGTATGTTAGAACACAGCGTCAGATCTGCAGCTATCAGGTGAGACTCAAATCACTCATATTGCTAATCCTTCCTCGGTGATGCCAGTCCTGCACATCACATTTTGAGAATCAGGAGCCTAAACCCATACCAGTGGGGATGGTGTTCCCCCAGTGGGGAAGGATGAATCTTGAGTGTGGGGTTCTGTGGAGAAAGGTGATAGGGAAATGGATAACAGATGTGGGGTGCCTATGAGCTTGCTGTAGGAGTCCCGTTGTTTAGAGAACAGGGAGTGTTTGTCACTTAGTAGCCCCTTGGTCACTGAGAGTTCTTGCCTTCCATTTCACTTCTGAAATTGTTCTTCTGTGCCAGACATATAGTACAGTAGGTAGGGTGCTTACCTTGCAGCCTACCTGGATTCTATCACCAGCACCGCTTGTGGTCTTCAGAGTCCTGCCAGGAGTGAACCCTGAGCAGAGAGCCGGGAGTAGGCCTGAGCACTGCCAAGTGTGGCCCCCAAACCAAACCCAAACAGAAAACTGTCTTGTATGCTTACAGTCCCTGACCCTATTGGTTCTTAATCTAGTTGGAGAAATACATGAACAGAATGGAAGGAGGTTGGGGATGAATCATATTCAGCTAAGGGGGTGGATTACATGGTGATGGGTGAAACCAGACTTTGGGTGGGGATCTTAATGTAGCAGTAGCAGATGTCAAATTAAAATGTCACATGTCTGAAACTTAGATAATGCTATAAATCAATGTTATCTCAATAAAACTCATGTTAAAATATGAATTAAGCTTTCAAAGACAGATTCAGATCACCAGATCTTTTATTTTTTAAAAAATAAAAGATTTTATTTTCTAATTTTTTGGTTTTTATGGGAGGGGTAACACCTGGTAATACTCAGGGTCCACCTCTGAATTGTTTGCGACTCACTCCTGGCAATGGTTGAGGGACCAGGTGGTCTCAGGAATCAGAACCAGGGCTTCCTGCATGCAGAACTTGTGAGCTGGATCTTTGCACACTCTCTAGCCCCGCAGACCTCTTAAAATTTATTTTTTATAAAGTTGTTCATGATTTATTACATTCAGTATTCCAACACCAATCCCACCACCATTGCACCTTCCCACTACCATTATTTCCAATTTTCCCAACCACCCCTCAAGCCTGCCCCTTTAGCCGGCCTTGGATAATTTATTTTATATCGCTTGTTATAATTCACTAAAAATAACTTTAAAAATATTTCCTTCGGAGGAAGTGTCGGCGTATTGTTGTATCTCACCATGGAGCCATTAGGCCCTTGTAGAAGAGATTACTAACAAGTTGTTACACGTTAAGCCTGGTGTGTTTATATTTTATTAATTGAGATTGGTTGCCGTCTACTTTACATCCCATCAAATCCCACGGATCTCTTTTATAATAAAATTTTATTTGAAGATCTTAAATAACATATAATAGTGAAATCCTGGGTTTTTTTTTCTTTTTTGTTTTTACTTTTTTGGGTCACACCTGGCGATGCACAGGAGTTACTCCTGGCTCTGCACTCAGGAATTACTCCTGGTGGTGCTCAAGGGACCATATGGGATGCTGGGAATCGAACTCGGGTTGGCCACGTGCAAGGCAAATGCCCTACCCGCTGTGCTATCTCTCCAGCCCCTGAAATCCTGTTTTTAAGAATTAAAAACTGATCTAGGCGTTCAGTGTAGATAATTTTGTGGCACTCAAAGGAGTTGGATTGCAGGTTGGATAGAGGTAGTTAGGGAAGGCTTTCTGGAGGAGGGGGCAGGAGGCACAGCCCAAAGGTAGCCCCTCAACCCTGGCATCTTGTGCAGGGGGCACAGCCCCACTGTCCAGCCTTCCACTAGTACATCTGCTGGCTGCTTCCAGGTGGGCCTGGTGGCCACTGCAGAGACTCAGGCATGGTTTTCTGTGTCACCCTCTCGGCCTCTAGGTTCATTTGGCGGACCGTGACTCCAGGTGAGAAGCCCATGGGACCGCTGCTTGTAGCCACCTTCTGGCCTGAGCTCCCGGAAAAGATCGATGCCGTGTACGAGGCCCCTCAGGAGGAGAAGGCGGTGTTCTTTGCAGGTGTGTGGGAAGGGGCGCTGTCCTGAGGCTCCAGACATCCCCTGTGTCTCTGTGGTGGTCCCGTTCATCTTGGGCCATTCTTTCCGTGGTCAAGTGTGGGATTCTTCCTGGGAGATGGGTTCAGAGCATAGAGCCACAAAGTGACATTTCCTCCTTGTGCCTTTTATTTTTAAAAAATTTTTATTTATTTGGGCTGGAGCAATAGCAACAGTGGGTAGGGCATTTGCCTTGCACGTAGCAGACCCGGCCGACCTGGGTTTGATTCCTCTATTCCTCTCAGAGAGCCTGGCAAGCTACTGAGAGTCTCTTGCTCACATGGCAAAGCCTGGCAAGCTCCCTGTGACGTAATCGATATGCCAAACACAGTAACAAGCTGTGATGCTGGCCTCTGGACGGAGCCGGGCACCTGCACTTCTGTCCCTGTTAGGAATGACCCCAGGGGAGGTACAGGCAGACCTGGGGCTATTATACTCACTCACACACCCTACCTTGGCATCCTCCCCAGGGGACCAGTACTGGGTCTATTCAGCCAGCACCCTGGAGCGAGGGTACCCTAAGCCCCTGAGCAGCCTGGGGTTGCCCCCTGAGGTCCAGCGCGTGGATGCTGCCTTTAACTGGAGCAAGAATAAGAAGACTTACATCTTCGCTGGAGACAAGTTCTGGAGGTAAGGGAGTGCAGTGGGAGGTTGAGCCTGCAGGGAGTGGAGTCCGGGGGCTGTGTCCTTCCAGGTTGAAGTTCAGAGGTTGCAGGCCTTGGGCTTTTGCCTACTGAGAAACAGATGGATGGCCCTATGCATGTGGCTAGTTGGAACCTCTTCTCCACTCTTACACATGGATTGAAACCCTGCCTGTGTGATTTGTGGCTCCTCTAAGGGGGTCTCACTACTGGTCAGAAGACCAAAATTAAAGATCATTGACATGGGGCTGGAGTGATAGTACAGTGTGTAGGGGATTAGCCTTGCACGTGGGTGACGCAGGTTCGATTCCCAGCATTTCATATGGTCCCCCGAGCACCGTCAGGAGTAACCCCTGTGCATCACTGGGTGTGACCCAAAAATCAAATAAATAAATAAATACATACATAATTAAAGATCATTGCCATGATGATGACGGTAGAAATGCTGATGCTAAAATAATAATAGTGTGGCCATTTCAGAGGAGAAAGTGAGTTGGGAGCGGTGGAGAATCCAACTTCACATCAAGCTGTTGGCAAATGCGGGCGGACAGGGTGAAATTTGCCTTCAGGGACTCCGTGGGCCTCCACTTATCTGCTCGGTGGTCCTGAGACAGCAATGGTGGCAGAGGATGTAGGGGCTGGATGGAATATGCCGACAACTATGGGAGGCGCACAGTGCCCCCGGGGGCCCTCTCGCAGATGTCTGCGGGCCTGGAGGCCTGCTTGGAAGCATTGACTGATGCCCAGGACAGGACTAGAGACTGGGAGGGTGCGTGGTGGGGGAGGGGGCTGGCGGGCTGCGAGCTCACCCCTCCCTTCCTCTGTGTTCCTGGAGCAAGGCGCTAACTTAGCAGCCTCACGCAGATGCAGGCCTGTGACGCACAGCCAGGATTCCAACTGGGGTGGGGGGCAGGGTGTTCTCCCTACTCCTCCCCCCACTCTCACTAAGGGGTTTTCTAATGGGGGGGGTCTCTTCAGCCCTCCCTCCTGGTGTCCTGCTGTTTCTTCTGTGACTGCCTCTGCCAAAGCCCTCCTTGGCCAGCTCTGGAACATTCCTGCTTCCCTCACAAGGCCTCTCTGGCCCCCCTCGCCTCCTCCCGCCACCCCGCCCCCAACTGCCCCACATTCAGAAGCTGTTTATGTCCCGGGCTGCCCGCGTTGGGCTGGAATTCCAGACCTATTGCTAAGATTCTTAGCCACTTAAGCTGATTGATATCTCAAGGCTCGAGAAAGAAAACAGGGAGTCAGCAGCATGGAGCGGGCTGGCCGCCCACAGGCCCCGGAGTGCCAGGTGCTCCCACGCACAGCGGGCTGGCTCCGGCATGGTTGCCCATCGCCAGGACTCTGGATCCTAGACAGTGAGAGGCACAGACCTCGGAGTGCTGACAGCCGGTGAATGGACCTCAAACTCAAGGACTTTGAATCTGGGTGTTTTGAATCTAGGGAGCAACCTCCAATTCCCATGATGGTGCATATATGGGGGACAGTAATGTCTATGGGTGAATGAGGGATGCAGACACACACACGCACACACATAGACACATATAGACACACACGCTAACACATAAACAGACACACAAACACAGACACTCACAGACTTACATAGATACACACATTCACACACAGACATATACACTGACACACACAGACACACAAAAACACAGGCATACTCATAAACACACACAGACACACATAGGGACACACACAGTCGTATACACACCGAAACAGACACGTAGAGACACGTTCACACAGAGAAACATACGTACACAGACATACCGACAGACACACTTACATACAGATATGCACACTCACACTGATACATACAGACATATTCACTCACACATTGCCACGCTCAGCCACGTCCAAACTTATAGAGACACACAAACATACTCATGCAGAGACAAGGGAGACACACACTCAAAGACACACACAGATATATACGAAGAGACACACTCACTTATACAGACATACTCATACGCACACGAACACACAGATACACACACACACATTTTCAGGCCATTGACAGTACCTTGCTGGATTGTGGGCAGAATTAATGACTTGCTTTCCTCCTGTAGAGAAAGATGCTTAGGAGGTGAGTACGTGGAGAGGGCGCAGACTAAGGTTCATGTTTAGAACATTCTTCAGCACGGTTCTGGGCAGATAACCTGAGGAGGTGGAATGTGCACTTCTGTGTGTGCCCTGAGTTCTGTCCCTGGCACCACATGGCCCTCAAGGCAGGCTAGCCCAAACAGCTAGCGAGATAACAGAGCAAAGGCTTCCCATCAAATGAAAAGACAGAGGCCCTGCTAGCCCAGAAGCATACACACCAGTTAATACTCCAGTTATTTGTGGAAATTGAAGGTGGGATGCAGGAGAGTGGAGTGTCTGGGTAGCTGGAGATGGGCAGAGGTCAGGGGAGGTGACCAATTGGACTGAGACCCAGTGTCCCAGCAAGCTGTCTTTGGGCCAGGCTGGACCAATGAGGAGGGAGCAATTTGTCCAAGTCCCCAAGAGAAAGATTGATGGGTCAGGACTGCATCCCTAGACTCCTGGTCCAGTGCTTCCCATAATGCAGTAGGGATCAGAACTTGTCAGGGACCTAACCTTTCCCAACCCTACATGGTATCAGGGGCGGGGAGGGGAAATCCATGTTATTTCATTTAGTATGTCCATTCACTCAGACACAAGCCCACTTCAGGGCTGGGGTCCCACACAGAAGCCCAATACCCCTTTATTTGCAGGAGAGGGATTTGGGGCTATGACTGGTTATACTCAGGACTCTGTGCTTAGGGGACCATATGTGGTACAAGGGATCAAACAGGGGATGGCTTCATGTAAGACAAATGAATCCCCTATTCCCCTATACTGTGTCTCTGGTCCCGGGTGTCCTTGTAAGCCTCTGGGTTGTAACATGAGAATCACAGTAATGGCACTTAACAGGGTTGTCATCCGACTGAATGAGAATGTTTGTGAGAAGTCAACACAGTGCAAGAATAGCACCAGAAATCGCTTTTATAGGACTCCCAGAGGTGACATTTCGAGGCCATCCAAATCACGTCTATGTGACAAAGGTGATATGCTGGGAGTTTTTGAGATCATCCATACGGGACATCAAAAGGTCACACTTGATAGACTAGCCCAAGGTCACATAATGAATAACCAGTGTCACTGGATTCCAATCTAGGTCTTCCTGTTACCCCATCTACTGCCAGCTGCCTCCCTGAGGAGCTGACCTCTGCTCCCAGCCGAAGTGGGGGGAAAGTGCAGGGGTGCGGGGGTGCGGGGAGCGTAAGCCTCAGGAGGGTCCCCCTGGCTCACCATGTCTGCATTCTTGCAGGTACAATGAGGTGAAGAAGAAGATGGATCCTGGTTTCCCCAAGCTCATTGCAGATGCTTGGTACGCCATCTTCGACAACCTGGATGCTGTGGTGGACGTGCAGGGCAGTGGTGAGTGCCCCAGCCTCCCTCTGCTTTCTAGGACTTCTAGACCCCAGTCTGGCCAGCTTCTGTACACACACACACACACACACACACACACACACACACACACACACACACTCATCACACAGGAAGCGCTGGGCGCCTGAGAAAACAAACCGGCCCCTTCAGCCCAGTGCTGGGAAGGCGTCCAGCCCCCTGACCTCTGCTCACTCAGCCAGCTCCAGGCAGTAAGACCCAGAAAGGCCCCTCACAGCTGCAGGGCCTGGAGCCACGGAGGGGGGGGGCAGCCTGCCTGGGACCAAGAACGTGGGTTCCATGTCCTGAATTCACTCTGGGGTTGGGTCCAGGTGCTTGGCCTCGAACTTCCTCCTCCACACGGGAAGATGACCCTGTCTGGGACAGGGCAAACTCGGTCATGCCTTGTTGGTGCCCTGGTCCCTTGTGCAATAAAAACACCCCCGGTGGCAATAGAATATGCAGTTGGGAATCCTATTCCCGAGGGGGCGGCCTGAGCAAGTCTTTCAAACCGGTGACGATTCCGGTTTGGCGCTCTCGTGGAGGTTCTAATGAAATTTCACCACGTTGTGTTTGAGCTGTTAACTGTGGCAAATGGTTTTACGGGACTGGGAAGAAGCAGAGTGTGCAGGGGGTGCTAGGTTCAGTGTGATCTGTTGAACTCCTACTATGTGCTTGGGGGTCTAGAGAACTGACGGAGAGCATAGAGGTCAAAGGTCACACAGTGCTTCACCAACTGGGTCCCAGACTGGAGCCTGGTTGGAATGTGGCAGACCAGGCAAATCCTAAGGAGGGATGAGGTTGGTGGAACCAGAGATCCCGTGGGCCATCAAAGGACAGTGGTTTTTCTGCTTCTGATGATTGCTGGCTGGCCCAGTCAGATTGCTTATGCTGCCACTTTTTTTTTAAGTAGTGATTTGGACCATACCCACTGATGCCAAGAGGCTATTGCCAGTTCAGTACTTGGAGATTGCTTTTGGCAGTGCTGGGGATCGAACCTGGGTATCCTGCATGTACTAGTCCTTTGAAAAAGTTTCTGCTCAAGCCCTGATAGTCTAGTTGCTTTCAAACCAAGTCAGAGTCTGTATGTTCATGTGACTTTCCCACCTCTTTACTTGGGTGGTGACTTCTAAAACAAAGCAATTCATATGTGCCAAATAAACCTTACTCTTAGAAACCTCCCTTGTCACCTCTGGTTTGTGGGAAATAAGCTTTGTTTGGTACTGTTATTTAGCCTAATGAGTGTGTGAGATCTAAGTGAATCCTCACCCAAGTCCTGAGAGGTTGGTCTTAAAGAGAGATGCAGAGCTTACCTCCCTCCCCATTTCCCTTTCTTCAGCCTCTGAGAGGGGTCTTTGGGGGCAGGTAGACGTGCCTAGTTCCCTGAACCTTCCACGAGCTGTTGTATCTGAGGATGGGGCAGTCACAGCCTCTCTCCTTTCTCCTGCCAGGTCACACCTACTTCTTCAAGGACACGATTTACCTGAAGCTGGAGAACCAAAGTCTCAAGACTGTGAAGTTGGGAAACATCAAATCCGACTGGCTTGGCTGCTGAGTTGACTCAGCTCCTGGCCCTGCTGCCTCATCTCCTTCTGCACCAGGCCCTGAGCATCCGGAAAGACCCAGATGGGCTGGGCAGCCTTCAGCTCTGTAGTTAACTAGCAGCGCCTGGAAGTTTAACATTCCAGAGTGGCTCTGCTCTGTGTCCAAGGAAAGGTTCTCCCAGATACCCACGCCCCTCCTTGATTCCCCAACCCTCCCCGCCCCATCACCTGGGACTCACCCTCTCCAAGGATGGGTCTTCTCATTGCAGCCCTGTTTGGGGCTGCCTGGTGCTGTGACCCTTCAGCCCTCTGCTCCCTCTACACCTCTGAGGCTCACAGCACCCGCAGAGCTGACAGAAACCCTTTCCAGGGGCCACTGGTGGCCCGACAGCCTGGCCTGACCGGGCCAGTTAGAGAGGGCTGAGACTGCACCTCCACTTGCTATTTTGCTTCCTGTGCACTTTGCCCTTTCCGTTGGATTTTGAAAACATTTCCACTTTAAATGCAATTTCCTCACAGAAGGACTCGGTTTGAAGTCACTGCAGCATTCAGTCTCAGTCCCCCACCCCACCCCCCTCTCTCCTCTTTCCAGTCTGCCCCCTTCTCCCCCCCCCCTTCCTCCACTGGCCGGAGGGAAGTGAGGCCACAGCATCCTGTGCCCCTCCCCCCTCCCACCTCTCCTGCTAACCCTCCTTCCCTTCCCCCATCCGGGAAGTGCCGTTAAGTGCGAATAGACACACAGGGTTTGAGCCACACTGTCCACGCCATCCGGGGCTGCAGAGGATCAGCCCAGAGCAGGGCCAGGGTCGGGAGGGAAAGGAGACACTTCCAAAGTCCAAAATCATGGCTCCCTGCTGGACACAGGTGGCCACTGATGGAAAGATTATAACTGCCAAAGGAAATAAGCAGGAGGCCATGGGGTGAATGAGTCTCAGAGCTCCAGCACCCCGGGCAGCCCTGGAACCAGAGACTCTCTTGCTGTCATTGCTGTGTCCAGTTCCAGGCTTCCTTCCTCTTTGGGGCTCAGTTCCTTCATCAACCGTACTATCAGCTTTAATGCTCCTGCCAACAGCAGGGAGCAGTGACAATAATAAAGAGTGCTTCCGATGGCCCAGGTATTTGAAATGCATCATTTAATCTAAGCAGAGGTTCCCAGACTTATTTGCCTGACTGCCCCCTTTTCAGGAGTAGAAACAGCGGTCCCTAACCCCCCTGGAAATCTACCTTAAGAAAACAAACAGAAAAACATTGGTCAAATGAAATTGACACTACTCCAGCCGCTGGATCTCTCCAGCTCTTAGGGCTTAGCCACATAGCTAGGTGAAGGAGCTGAGACCAGGAGGAAAGGAATTCCCAGGTACCAAGGCTACTAGGTGGCAATGCCACTCAGTCTCCAAGTGACCCACAACCTTCCTCCCCACATCACCCTGAGCAAACAAAGCTAGGGGAGAAGTGCGTGTTTGCTTTCCAAACACAGCTTTGCAATAGGGCATTCTCCAACTCTTCACCCCTCCTTCCCAACCGTTGCTTATTGCAGATTCTTTCCTATATATAGTTCTGGGGCTGTACTTATTTCAGAGGCTTCCTCGAGTTCGCCTAGCCTGCATAGACTTGCTTCAGGCATATTGCAGGGAGCTGGTGGGAAGGATTTTCTGTAGGGGCTCTGGGGGAGCCCAGAGCCACATTCATCTTTGGGGCCAGCACAGTGGCTCAGCTTCTGGAGAGTCCTGGAGGGCGAGCCCGCACGGCTCTTGGGGTAAAGAGTCAAAAAAATCCACCTTCTTGAAGATCCCCCAAGACTTGGGAGGCACAAATGTTACATCATGACTGTGACATGCTTCTCCTTAGGGTTCTTAGAAAATCCAGCTGTCCATTAGACCTGCCAAGATTTCTCAAGTTCTTTTCCTTGCACACGGCACATGCATCCTTTCCTTCTACAACCTTGTGGGATAGGACTGAATCTGTTCCCATTCCTCCAGGAGGAAATGAGGTCAGAAAGATGAAGTGCGTAACTCAAGGTCACCTGACTGGGCATGTCCGAAAGATTCTGAACTTTGACAGTGGGCTCCATGGAAAGGTTCTGGATGCAGAATCTCATCACAGCCTACAGCCTGCCATGAACAGGCCATCTCCGTCCAGACTTTCAGCCCTTGAAGCTGGAAAAATCATTCTCTCTCAATCCACCCCTCCTACAAGTCCAGACAGACCAGGAATATCCTCGAGATGAAAGAGAATCACAGCCCAAGTCATTTCACCTTCGGAGGCTAGTTTCTTCTTCATCTAGCACGGAAGGCACTCATTTTTTTTTTTTGCTTCTCCTGCGTCCCAGCAGAAGCAGTTTCATTTTCCTTTAGGGGGTCACTTCTCCACTGTCAGTGTTCTCAGTGGAACAGACCAATTTCTGTATTCACTGAAGACTGTCTGCTGTTACTGACCAACATCCAACTCAAACTGCTTTAAGCAAAGCAAAAACATATGCCAGCCAGAAATCAAACACATAAACAAAACCCGCCCTGGGCACATGAACTCAAACCATCCAAGGCTTGCCAGTAGGTTTGTGGCATGCAGGTTATTTATCTGGGCTCAGTTACTCCCCTTTCACAGGAGGCAACTGCTGTTCCTGGAGACAGTGGTTTGGCCAGCATCAGCTGGAAGCCGATCTTTTGTCTAAACTCCCCCTGGCTCTTGCCCAGGTAGAAAGTGACCTCGGAGGGGCGGAGCTGCTTGTCTAGAAGCCGAGCGTGTCACCTAAGGGGGCGTGGCCAGGCGTGGGTGTGGTCCGGCCGGGGGCGGGGCGAGGCCCGAAGGTAACCGGCGCGTGCGCAGAGGCGCCGCCGCGCACCTCGGGCTGGGACTCGGGCGCGCTCCGTCCGACCCGTCTCGGTCCCCGGCTGCTGCCTTCGGTCCTGAGCCTGGTCCGCGCCACCATGAGCCGGTGCGCCGAGGCGGCGGCGGTGGCGGCCACCGTGCCGGGCGCGGGCGTCGGGAACGCGGGGCCACGGCCGCCCATGGTACCCCGCCAAGCGTCCTTCTTCCCGCCGCCCGTGCCCAACCCCTTCGTGCAGGAGACGCGGGTGGGCGCGGCGAGGCGCATCCAGGTGAGGGCGCGGGTCCGACGGGGGGAGGCGCATCCAGGTGAGATGCGGGTCCGATTCGGGGAGGCAGAGCCAGGGTAGGGCGCGGGTCCGACGGGGGAGGCGCATCCAGGTGAGATGCGGGTCCGATTCGGGGAGGCAGAGCAGGGCAGGGCGCGGGTCCGACGGGGGAGGCGCATCCAGGTGAGATGCGGGTTCGACCGGGAGGTAGAGCCCTATGAAAGGTGGTAGTCCGGCCAGGGAGGCAGAGCTAGGGGAGGGCGCGGGTCCGACCGGTGAGTCGCATCCAGGTGAGGGCGCGGGTCCGACCGCGGAGGCATAGTCAGGGCAGGGTGCGGGTCCGACCGGTGAGTCGCATCCAGGTGAGGGCGCGGGCACCCTGAAGGCAGAACCAGGAAAGGGCGCGGGTCCGACGGGGAGGCAGAGCCAGATGAGGGCGCGGGTCTGGGCGGGGGAGACGCAACCGGGTGTGGGCGCGGGTCTGACTGCGGAGGCAGAACCAGGGGAGGGCACGGGTCTGATGAGGGAGGCGCATCTAAGTGAGGGCGCGGGTCCGACCGGGAGATAGATGTAGAGCCCTATGAAAGGTGGTATTCCCACCCGGCCGGCAGATCCAAGTGCCTGGTGTGGATTGGAGAGAGGCACATGCAGGAGAGGGGCTGGTCTGAGGGAGGAGGTAGCTTAGATGACAGGTGTGGGCCTGAGAGCTCAGGGGCACCAGATGAGGGGAGTGACCTGCCCAGGGGCAGCTCTTTTGAGGAGGCTGTGTCTAGCTCGAGGGTGGGGGTGTCTGAAGGCTCAGGAGGACCTGGCCGGGAGGGTACCAACCTGGGTAAGGAAGAGATGGGGCTCTGAGAGGGGTGGTGCCCGGGGCATGATGTGAGTCTGAGAACTGAGGGTGGGGAGAGTCTTGGAGGATGCTCTGGGGGGTAGGAGAGTGAGAAAAGAAGGTGCCAAGAGCGGGTGGGCTGGGGTGGGGCTGAGAGGACCGCAGCTAAGGAGAGAGGGGACAGGATCTCCCAACTTTAACCACTGTCTGAGTGTGCGAGGGGGTTGGGGGAAACCAGCCTGCCTTCCACCCCAGAGAGCTTCTTTGCCTTGGTGGAGGAGAGGGGCCATTCGGAATGGGAAGGGAGAGCTGCAGGTCTGGAATGAGAAGGGTGGGACCCTCAAGCTGGGGGGGGGGGGCACCAAGGAACAGGTGTAAGGATGAGTCTGCTTCAGGTGGCAGGGAGTTTGAGGGGCCCAATCGTCTCCACCAAGCACTTCTGACTACAGCTGTCTTCTGCTGTTCAGAAATGGCTGTCTGCAAAAAGGAAGTTTCTTTTCCCTTTCTCTTGCTAAGAGCTGCTTTTACTGTAGCAACACTTTGACTTCCTTTTTGGTGAGGTTAGTGACCACGAAACAAGTCCAAGATCCAAAATAGCATCAGTCCATTGTGTTCTGCCAGAAAAACAAATGATTTTAATGCTTTCCAGTTCCTCACACTTTTCTTTACTTTGGATTGGAAATAGTGTAATTTTCCACATAGCATATTGTATGTGCTGATAGCATTGTCCACTATATTACTGTATGTGCTGATAATGTTGCCCACTATAGTAGAGGGAAGTGCTGGCAAAGCATCTAGAGGAACCGATAAGCGTGATGGTAGATGGGTATCTATCTGGCAACAGAGAAAAGTGGGAGAGGAAGAGGAAGAGGAAGATAAGGAACCGAGTAACAGGCTTTGGAAAGGAACTAAGTATTTAGAAACTTGATCTTTATGCCTTTAAACAGATGCATGTTCCCTTTGCATCCTAAAACTTCTGAAACTTCGAAACACTACCATTTAAGATTAATTTTACTTTGATTTAATCAAATCAGTCATGCTTAAAGTATGCTCATCTCTTTGGTTTTATATTTTGGAAGGTGAACCAAAGTGGCCTATTTATCATATTTATAAGTATATTGCATATAGAGTAAAATTGTACAGTAAAAATTTATTTTTTGCAGGGGGGCACACTTGGTGTGCTCAGGGATCACTCCTGATAGAGCCCAGGGAAACATGTGGGGTGCTGGGGATTGAACCCGGGTCAGCCATGTGCAAGGCAAATTCACTGTATGACCCCAAATCTTAATTTTTTATTAGCATAGCCCATTATTATTTAAAGAGAGCTTTAGGTTAAACCTAAACATGTGGTTGTGTAATGGAAATATCGCCTTAGTCAGAAAACCCATTTAGACCACCATTTACTAGTTGCATAAATTTATATGACATTTAACATCTCTGAACTTCACTTTCTTCATCTATTAAATTGGAATAGTAAAATATCAATGGAAACTTAAAATTAAGTGAAACAACATACTAAGAATATTATTTGCTGATCACAATATTGACAGCTATGCTCCTTTTGTCTACAAATTACATATTCTTAAATTTTACTACATAGATTAATAGAACTCAATATGGTCAGAATATATTTTTTAAATCTCTATATACCCATAAGTCCATATAAAGAGACCAGAGATTTCAGTCACTTGAGTTATCTAGGGAAGAGTTAAATAAACTCTGATTGAAAATATTTTTATTATCTGGTTTAAAAGTTAGAAATACTTTATGCATAATTTAATTTAAAAAGTAGTAATTAGTCTTGATTGATGACCAGTATCTCAATTAAGGATTATTGCCATGTTTGCCTTTAATTATAGGGTTTAATTTTGCCACTTTCTTTTTTCATTTTTGATTATTTCAGGGTCTGCTACTACATGGTTTGGGAAAAGTAGCCTAATTTTCATTTCCTTAATAAAATGTGGAGTTAAAATGGGTTTTTGGTTGTAGCTGTGTTATCATTTATCAAACCAAAAATATTTGTTTAGTGTTTTTTACGTACCAAACAGAGAGCTGATCTCTGCCTGGGAAATAGATCAGTTAAAACTAAGAACTATGCTTATCTAAAGTTTACCTTTAATTAAAAAGCTAAATGAATATGAAAATATATTAATTCCCTGTTTTAGTAAATACTAAATCAGCTAGCTTGAATGGATGTCGACTGGAATTCTTTGGTCTGAGAAATAGTAAGAAAGCAAATGAACTGAGTCTCAGAAACTCAGAGACACAAACTGATAGAAACATAATTGGAGTCCAAACTCAAACAGAATGAGGAAAAGGACCACTGTAGCACTATAGCACTATAGCACTGTCCTCCCGTTGTTCATCGATTTGCTCAAGCAGACACCAGTGACGTCTCCATTGTGAGACTTGTTACTGTTTTTGTCATATCAAATATATCACAGGGAGCTTGCCAGGCTCTGCCGAGGACGGGATACTCTCAGTAGCTTGCCGGGCTCTCTGAAAGGGATGGAAGAATCAAACCTGGGTCAGCCGCGTGCAAGGCAAAGGAAAAGAAGACAAAATGAATATTAAAGAAAACTAAAAATTTGCCAGATTTTGTTTAAAAGAAAGCATATAATCTACACATTTGAAAATCTCAATGAATACCAGGTACACTAAACTCAGTTATCTGTATGCATCACAAACAATTGAAAGCCAAAGAGAGACTCGTGGAAACATAAAGGTAGAAACAACCATCATGTGTAAGTGATCCTTAGTAAGATTATTTGTCTGATTGTTCATCAGGATTCTGGATGTGAGAAGTCAGGAGAAGGTTATGGTCAAAGCGCTGAAAGGAGGAAACTGATCCAATAACATCCAGAGAAATTATCCTTAGAGAATGAAAGGAAAATTAACAAAATCAGAGAATATGTCAGTAGCACTTGTTGAAATTCCTGAAATAGTTCAGTCCTTCAGACTAAAATGAAAGGACACTAGAGAGAACAATAATCTACACAAAGAGCTAGAATACTGATAAAAGCATCTTAATGTATCTATAACAAAGCAGTATAAGTCTGGGGTGAACAAATATATGAATTGAGACTTGTGCTTTGCTAGTGGCAGGGAAATCAAAATAGAACACCATAACATATCTATTTAGCACGTAAGAAAGTAGGAATGGAGGCGCTTGGAAATAAAATCATACAGAGATATGTGGTGGTGGTGGGGAAGCCTTGTTCATCTTATAACGAAGTATATCAGATGTAAATGGATTAAACACTCTAATTTACAGGCAGATATTAACCAAATAGCTAAAATACATAATCCAGCTATATGCTCTCTAAAGAGGCATGCTTTAGATTATTCAGAAAACCAATAGTTGAATGTAAAAGAATAAAAGAAAGATAATTCTATGCAAATAATAACTCATAATTGATATCAGATAAAATAGATCTTAAGGCAGAAATTATCAGGGATAATGGAAAAATGTTTCCTAATAACAAAAGGGTTAATTTGTCAAGTGTGTTTATCGATTATAAATATATGTGCTCCTGACAACAGACCCTTCCAAATACACAAAGCTGTAACATACTGAAGTGAAAAAGTATACAATTCAAGAATGAAAAGTGGCTTCAATTCCCTACTTTCATTTGTGATAGAACAATAAGACAAAAAATCTCAACAAGGAAACAAGAAACTTGAGCAACTAACCCATTGGCCCTAACAAACATATGTAGAGCATTATACCTAATAATAGTAGGAAACACGTTCTTCTCAAATGTCTGTAGAACATTCTCTAAGAGAGATCACTACTAGGTTATAAAACAAAACTCAAAAAATGAAAAAGGATTACAATAATCTACATAAAAGTAAAAGTAAAGGCCCTCCCGTTGATTATCGATTTGCTCGAGCAGGCCCAGTAACGTCTCCATTGGAGACTTTGTTGTTACTGTGTCTGGCATATCGAATACTCTCGGTAGCTTGCCGGGCTCTCCGATAGGGGCGGAGGAATCGAACTCGGGTCGGCCATGTTGGCTGCGTGCAAGGCAGACGCTCTACCCGCTGTGCTATCGCTCTGGCAATAATCTACATATGTTCCATAATATTGGATTGAAGTTAGATATCAATACCTAAAGAAAATTTGGGAAATTCACAGATATGTGAAAATTAAATTAAAAATTCCCAAGTAACC